GTAGTAGTAGTAGTAGTACTAACAATTGTAACAAAATGAAATAACAACAATACTAATAATAATCATAGTTGTAACAACAATAATAACAACAACGAAATAACAATAACGATAATAACAACAACAATATAACAGTATAACAATATAGCAAAACATGATCATAATACACAATACTACTAACGATGTAATAAGACATAACGTAATAAATAATGAATAATACTGTAGTGTAACATGACAATAAGCTTGCAGATGGCAACAACGGAGACACTTCGCAGCTTCGCAACAGGAGCACCGAAGAGTGTTTACATGCGATGTGACAACATGGGAAGAATGAATTCCAAAATCCAAGAAGCGAGCCCTTACTGTGTAACGCAATGCCAACCAAGGATTTACATACCATACATACAATATAACTAGTTATGGCACTTCCCAATCTTAAATGAGCAAACTGCTCTGTGTCAATACATGTAGGTTGCTATTGCTCTGCGCGCCTGCGAACAATACTAGCATACCATGCGAGGAACGACAGACACACACACACACAAACAGACCTTCCAATTGAACACATTGGAAAGGACGATACCCGTGCATAGACAGCTGGTAAAGACGCAGAATGATGTAAATTCTGCATACATATTGAAATCCTCCGCGTCAATACTAACTAGCCGCTAACTACCCAGCAGCAAAAAAAAACAACAACATTGCAGAACACTTTAACTCCAACATTGTTGTTTGCAGTGCTCACTTTGCAGAACGTCTCCGTATTATTCAAGGGACATCGTACTGCCTTTTGAGAAATATTGTTATGAGCTATGATGCCTTGCGCACGTCTCACTACATGCCGCAAAGCTCAGCGGGTCCGAGATGCAAACTCCAAAGATAACTGCAATCAGGAAGAGTCCTCGAAGACCAACCTAGTCATGGAAAACATGAGGGTTTTAGAGGGTTCTATGGGGTTGTATGGGGCAGGAACAGTGGCTCTGGATGCTGATGCCGCTCGTCGCAGTACGAAAATATGAGAACTGTCACATCCGACCGCGGAACAGGCAGCAGTGGATTCCCGTCAGGTGGGACAAGACATGTGCACAGAGCCCGGCTTGAGCCCCTGCCTTGTCTTGCAGCGGCTTCAGCAAAAACAGCTGAACCAAGCCGTTGCTGACCTTGGTGGTGGGAGGCTGATTAGAATGAATATAAATCTAAGGCACCGGGGGTTCAATGTTGCACTCCACACGAAGCTTAAGAATCAGGACAGTGTCGTTGCCGAGCGATTTCTTCGGAAATGCAACCTGTCCTAACTCTGGGAAGATACAGCATGTGTAGTCGCATGATCTAGGTGCCGAGGAACTGTTGAGACTGTCACAAGCGGCGCAAAGCTCTGCATGTTGGCACCAAACTTGTCCTCACGCGGGCTCTGACTCTACAATTCTTACGTTCTAAATTCAACCGTAACACTTACCCTCGAAATCCAGCATTCCAATCCACGTTCTCCCATTCCACTCGCAAAACAGGTATGCAAACAGACAGGCTCAGGAACTAGACAGCCGGATGCATGCTATGTCCACATAAAGCCACGACAATTCGTTCATCTGTGCAAGCACTTCCTGTAGGATACTCATGTGGCTCCAGCTTGCACCCACAAGCTGGGCTAAGCCCACAAGCCTCCAGCCGTCATCCGGAATCCTAAGGCCTGGAGCCTTTTCTTTGGCATCCGGGCTGCGAAGCTCTGGCCGGAAGCCGTGAACCCTTCTTGCAGCAGGCTTCCATCGCCCGGAACTAGAACCCACCTAACACCGAAGACCCCAAAATCCCCCCAAAAAATCCCCAAAGCGGGCTCTCCTTGCAGTACAAGAAAGAAGCGCCTCCGAGGCCGGTCCCCGTGAGGAGGCCCAGGAGGCCAACTGCAATCCTCATCAGAGGGCTCGTTCCCTAAAGTGGGTTTAGGGTTTAGGGGTTTAGGGTTTCGACTCACACACTCGCGGTTTAGGGTTTAGGATTTAGGGTTTAGGGAAGTCATTATGAAGTTCCTAAGATAGTACGGCACCCTTATAAACAGGACTCTAAAAAGGGATTTCGACTCACACACTCGCAAAGCAGGCAGGGCTCACAGCGTCCGAGATTACTACTGTGACATGCCAGAACAGTACACCAGGAATCTAAAGGGATTTCCATTTCGATAACTACAAAGAGATGTGGCAAGCAGCAAGACAGGCTTTGCTAGGACGTGCAGGGCCTATACAGGGTTGCGGTGATGACCACCGGGAAGGCCATGGGGCATGGCGCTCGGACCGCTGGTCCATCAGAAGGATTGACAATTCCATCATTGCCTATCTTATAGTACAGTATAGTCTAGTATATATTATCATAGTATATTATAGTATAATATGGTATATTATAGTCTGACGCTCACCATTCCAGAACCTCACAGTAGCTCAATCGTAGCCAGGCACCAGCACCAATGCGTGCGGGCACCTCTCACACACCCTGAACCCCAAACCCTAAAAAGTGCTTCGATCTACCAAGGCACAGCTTGCGAAGGGATCTGTCCGTGAACAGTATTCTCACGTTTTTCCTGGGCTATTGGCTTCCTTTTCAAGTTGGGCTGGAAACCGCCAACTCCATGTGGCCTTATGCTCAGCAGCCCGCATGTCCTTGACGATCCCGAAAACACTTTTTAGCAAGGACGTAGGATGCATTTTGGAGCCTGAACTTCATCGTCAGTAGAACAATTCAACACTCCAGCCCCCGTACCGGAAGCAGCACGAAAGACGATCCCACAAACCCAAACGTTGTCTGTCCTCTCAAACTCACAGTGCAACACTTCGGCCGGACGATTGTGGGAAAGAGTAGGCGCCACAAAGGAGGTCCTTATGTTGTCATCCCCGCTGCCTCTGCAATTCTATAACTGTTACAACCTAGGCAACGACTAATTATGATTCTGACTGGCAGCCTTTACGAGGGAAAAAGTCATGATGCACTGACTTACACCCGCCTCGCCTTGATGCCTTTCCTGTGAGTGAAATTACCACCCGCATCACTATGGCCTTGGCCTGCAACATGGCATCACCCTCGTCTTTATCATCGTCATGATGATGATGATCATCATCATCATCAATCACCATCATCACCATCATCATCTTCACCAGCATCATGAAAAAAGGAAAACCCATCGTTGCAGCAATGTTCATGATTAAATCGTTAGTATCACCGACATCGGCAGCAGGATCGGGGCCACGTGCATCATCTTCACCATTCCTTCTTGGCATGGCCATAATACACCGTCGACGGTAACCTTGTCGTCATGCGTCGCCATACACCACTACGGCTTATCGCTGTTGACGGCAGCAGCATCATGCCACCCAAGTCGGGCCAACTGCAACAACAGCAACACCGAAGGTTAGCTCTATTCAAGCTCCTCCATTCCGAACTTGGTACTAAACAGAAGAAACCACAAACACAAAACTACCAAAACATCGGCGCGGGTGCCACCGCTCGAAGAAGGCGTGCTTGCCATCTGACACTGCGCTCCTCGCTTCTCGGCTACATGGGAGCTGCCAGGCCGAGCTGGCAATGGACTGGCGTGGGGCCAAAAACCAGTTGTATGCTCACGCTTAACATCTCTCATATTCTGCGAAAAGAAACCAGCCGAGAACCCAGGAAGAAGAAGAAGCGTGGAATTGCGCGGCAAGCCTTCAGCCAAGCGGAAAGTGCCTCGGGTCTAAAGCCTCAGCCCGTATTTTCGAGCCTCGAATCATGGACCCTCATTGAGCCAGCTGGCTAAGTTTCGCAAACACGAAGAATAGTAAATACTATCATTACCAAATTCCTCTTGCTGTTGCTATAATATTTATAGCATTAGTAATAAAAATGACGACGACAGCAACAACAAGAACAAAAACAAGAACACTCCTTGTCAGTTGAGCTTGAATGGCAGTGACTTTTGATAGAGTCGCAGGTCGAAATGATGACGACGATGGTGGTGATGACAGTGGCAGTATTGGTGGTGATGGCGAGGGGTAACGATGATGACCGTGAAACAAAAGCAATGAATGATGGCGGCGCTGGCAAGGAGAAAGAGGAACACCACTCCAAGCGGCAAGAACTGACAACATGCTCCGAAAAGCCGAAGTAGTAGGCAACATCCATCACAACTTGACAACCATCAGCAAAAGCGGCGAGGGTGAATGATGGTGGTGACGGTGATGCTGGTGGTGCTGACGCCGAGAACAGGTGTAAGAAGCAGCTAAAAACCGACAGCAGCGACGAGAAAGGTCCTGGCCGACCCGCCTATCAAGCTGGCCGGTCGGGATTCGGTCACGAAACCTCTGCAGCGCAGTTTTCGAGCATGTCGTAAATCTTGTGGGCTCCAAATCACCCAGACATGACTTAAAAGCAGAAGCTGGGGAACTAATCAAGCACTGTATGGCTTCCAAAATCCACCTGTGCCTACTGTTCGCTGCAACAGCTACCACACACGTAAATGATCCTTATTCAAGCAGAACTATCTTCATCCCTCCATTAGAACTAGAAGTATGGTCATGACTACTTGGGATAAGAACCCTGAAAACCTAGCCTTGGACGAAAGAGCCCGGGACGATTGAGCTTCCATTGCAGGCTCACAGCCTGCCAACAGTAGGCCCGAGATAAAAAAAAGACCTCTAAACTAGTAATACTTGAAATAACACTAATAGCATTGTAGAAATAACTGTAATGATAAGAAGAATACGAAGAAGATGAAAGCACATGGCAATGGGGATGTTGGAGAATGGCAGATTCAGGATGCGGCACCCACTCATCGAATCCTCTACGAAAGGAAAATGAAAATAGAGTAAGACCCTGTAATTGCTTCTGCACTAGCCTCACACTCCGGCTTCACGGCTTTCAAAGCTGAGACCCTGAAAAGCACGAAGCTGCATGGTGCAAGTGAGATGCAGACGACAGTCAGCAACGCCGCCACCCGGATAACAGTAAGAACTAACACCTCAGCTGGGCTTGGGTTCAAGAACAACCAAACCCTGAACATGAACAGTAGATACGTAATTTTTATTGAATGATTAGAATCAGAATGGGGTTTTGGGGCTTGATTTAAATCCGAGACTGGTAAATACTCCACAGAAACCTCCTCTCTCTTGAAACCACTAAGATTGGTATTACGTATGTTTGAAGTAGTAGCAAGCATCCACAAACACCCTGGAAACCCTGCTGCCTCGAACCAGTGGCAGGCTGGCCCGCCCACCCACACACACACACACACACGCGGGCAAAAGCATGCCATCAGATCCTTTCGTTGAATACGTATGGTGTTTTCGACACTGTAGAGCAACAATGCGTGTCGACAGCCAAACTGAAATCTCACTCAGTGGTCTTGTCAGCCCAAGAGGCTATCCCACTCGCAAGCAGGTGAAGCAGACGTCTAGAATCTATATTATTCGTTGATGCACGAAGTGGCGCGGGCACTTTTGATTTGACTAGACCCTTGGAAAACAAGAGTGCGCAGAAACACACACACACACAAACAAACACGCACGAACACACGCGCCCACACACACACACACACACCCGCACACACACACACACAGAGACAGGCGCGCGCACGCATACCCACACATCAAAGAGATACGTCTGCAAGGTAGTCAAGCTGGGTCGTGCACGATGGGGCACTTCGGATACATTGAGATGTCGCTCAAAGTACTGCGGCAGACAAAACCTGAAACCGAAAGCCTAGGCGCCGCGCAAGCCCTCACCTCAAACTATGGACCAAGCGGCTGCCGATCGATCATGTGCGACCATGGCAGCCAAAGGCACGATGATGCCTCTTGAGTTCTGTTTTCCGATAAGCAATCACAGTTTGATTAGCCTGGCTTTTTGTCATTCAAGAGCTTGATGCGATGGTGCTACTGCTTGTAAAGCGAGAACTTGCACTAGTCGCTAGTATGGGGTGGGGATGATAATAGGAGGTGCGGACACCCCAACCCCAAAACCGTCAAAAGACTCCTACATTCCTACATCGCGCAACTCCACTAAGGCTGGCAACCACACTGGAACCTACACAGTACATATTCGGTCGGATATAGAGTCTAGCTACGCCTGCACGGTAGCAAGTCTCCTCCTCAGCATTGCACAACTTCACAGTGCCGGCCTTCGATGTTCGTCGCGGCATTCAAGCGACCGTACATCTGCCCTCGCTCACTGGGCTCTGTTTGGTCGTTGATCCAAAACCTTCCGTGCGATCCACTTATATAGTATATAGTATATAGTATATACTATATATTATATAGTATATAGTACAGAGTATATAGTATATATTATATACTGAAGGGTTTCCCACGTGTTTGCTGCATGACATGGATACAAGAGGTACCGTGGAGGTGCTCGACTTTCCCTTTTGAACCCAGGCTCGGCTCATTTCCTGCATCAGCTGGGGATCGGCAACTGGCAGACTGGCAGGCATCCCTCGAGGCTTTAGGTCTAGAGTTTTTAATTTCGAATCTGGCAACTCGGACAACGCAGGAAGGCTTCACGACGACTGGCCCAAGGCACACATAGCAACACCTAGACTCTAGATAGACGACCGGACAGGCATTGGGTTCCGGCTCTCGCAGTTGCGTCAAGCCATGTTGAAAGCATTGGTCGAAGTGTTCGTTCGGGCTGCGCTCACTGTCGCGAAAGGGCACAGGCACTGTGGCTAGAATAGACCTTCACCAGACCAACTAACCACTGAGCCAGGGACCAGAAAAGCATTGGGCCCGGTATCAGCACCTAGGCTGCTAAGCAACCCACTGGGAAAAGTATATACTTTTCTGCATGTTAGCTATAACTTATAGAACTCCAGAAATCAACAAAGGAAGACAGCATGCACTGAACGGCCCAGTCACGGGAACCAGGAGTCCCGCATAGAAATAGTAGATGGACGCCCCGGCGTAGGCGACGCAAAGAAGAGCTATCAGGGGCACCTCAGAAGACGATGGAGCGAAGATGAGCGAAGCACAGCCGGGTTTAGGTTTAGAAAACTGCAACTTTCATGGGCTCTCTCCGCCCTGAGCCCAAGAGAACCCTTAAAGCTTAATGCAACCCTTTAAGCCCAAAGCTAGGTTATCCTTTGCATCCGAACAGCTCAATGCCGAACTCCAAACTCTCTGGCTTCCAATAAACTGAATCTCAGAAGGGTTGGCATGTAATGAAGGGGCCTTAATAGTTAGAATAGGGTTTTGGGGTATGCTATACTATAATTATAAGAAGAAACCCCCCGAAATAGTACACAGGAATCCTGCAACAGCCGAAAAATTCACGGCCAAGGCACTTTCGAGGTCAGGAAGGCTAGGATCAGCATCGGGCGCCGACCGAAATGGTCCGCGCAGCTTCCTCATAAGTCGGATTGCTTGATCAGTCCTATGAGCTTGGACGGCCCCATACTCGGAAACATCCTAGGCCTGTTCAGTGGTGCATGGACCTGAAATCCATGTTGCACCCCAGTCGACATTCAGATGCAGTTCGGCACCTAGCAAACTCGCTCGCCGAGAGCTGCTTGGGCTTTGTGGCGACTGGACTGGCATATGTATGTATATGTATATGCATGCATTTACCTAATATTACCTAGAAGTTTACTGTATTACATATGAGGGACTTCCTTACTGATTAGAATAGGGTTGCGGGATGTATTATGCAAAGTTGTGTGGGCAATTATTCAAGCCTGGATGGTAAGAACTAACTACGGTGGCAACCCGTGAACGACGACACCAGTGTGAGAAACCTTCTAGTGGCTACTTTGACACAGGAGTCCGACGAAGGGAATCGCAAAGAGACTCATGATGGCGCCGACGATGCCGAACCTTGGGACATCTTCATGTTAAGCTCCCAACCCATTGCCAAAAGAGGTCAGTGTTGCATCATCACTATATTATGATGTCAGACCTCCTGCCTTCAGGGCTTGCTCTACTCCTGCCCCCTCTCTGTCAGAGACAAATGAGAGGCCATGTCCTGTACAAAAAACGAAATTGCAGCATGCCACCCCTTTCTGATACGTCGTCTGAAGGGGCTGGACGCGTCCTGCTTAAACCTTCTCTCCTGAACTCTGCGGGCCCTAAGGCAAGGCACGTGGCACCAATCTCCGACGCCTGCGCGATGAGCTTCTCACATGCCGGACCTCGCAGCAGCAACTGAAACCAGGTATATCATTCTTCGGCTTCTTCCTGCTCCTGCCGCAAAACATAGGCATGACTTCTGTCACCAGGCTGCGGTGAATCCATGCGAAGCAAATGTAATGAAGATTATTGAGCATCTGTTGAGAGGTCCATCGGAGCCGCTGCAATCATCGCAAGTCCCATGGCTGTCACGCCCTCACTGCAGCACTGACTTCCATCCGGGCAGGGTGCGAAGGCATGTACAAACTGCACACATCAGGACCCGCCAACCCTTTGAGGACTCTAGAACCTTGAATCATGATTCATTCCCGGTTGCTGTTCGCCCCGCTGCCGGCACAGGCATCCACACCATTGTTTAGTGATGCCACAGCCAGATCCGGGTAGATCAGATTCACCCTCGGGTTGAGGTTTTAGGGCTGCAATCTGACACAGCAACTCAGTCTTCAGAGCCTTCGGACGTGTGGGTCAGATGCTGCACCCAAACCTACAACAGCACCGTCTTCACCTTCTTCTGCCCATCCCGAAGTTCAGCATCTCTTTACACTTACATGTAGAATGCGAGAACTAAGGGTAGCTAAGCAGCAAGATGGTGGCCATGTTCTCCAGGAGGATGGCCTTTGCTGGTGCTCGAGCGCCACATCTTAAAGCCCGAAGCCCTACAGTCGGATAGAGCAGGCAACCGTAAAGCTAGGGCTGTCCTCTTACGTGAGAGACCGGGTAATACCGGGTAGGCAGTTCTCTCCCTCACTCTCACTCTCACTCTCACTCACTCTCACACACACACTCTCTCTCTCTCTCTCTCTGTCTCTCTTCCTCGTTGCATCCAGAGGGTCTAGCAGCGCAATTAATTAGTTGCCTTAACCGATCTTGGCTTATGCCGTGATCTTCATGAGGGGACCTCCAAACATGACAGACCACTGGCACCTAGCACAAGTGGTGTTTCGGTTTAGCCCAGCATTTCACAACCGCCCCGTGACTCGTGATGTGGATTTTTCCTCTAGGTTTAGTCGAGCAGCGATCCAGAAAGGGCACCACAGTTTGCAGGACCTGTCCGTATGGTGAGGGAGGAGCCTGGAGTCGTTTCGCATAGCCAATGCTGCACCATGGCTTTCAGAATTGTCAGACGCCATGCTGGCAAGCCGCGGCACCAGGAGATGTTTCGTGTGTTACGAAGTCCGCTGCGCTACTTGCTCTTTGTTATCGGTGTGCCACGCACGGCACTTAACTTATTTACAATTGGGACAAGGCCAGCATACGGACTGATGAAGCTCCAAGACAAACTTTTGAGATGTTGCGTGGTCTGCAAGGCTACGCTGGTCTTGAGACAGCCGGCTGCGGTCATCGTCTTAGCGACGCTGGCCGTTTAGCTTTCCACCGGCAGGACCGAGACTCAGCTACGGGAATGGGGTCGAACCAATAATTCGGCAAGAAGAACCATCATGAATGTAACCATTGCCAGGACACGATTGTATGACGCACACGGTTGCTGAGGTCGCTTTGAGTTCAAGAACACGGCATGGTCTGAAAGTGGAACCAGGAGAGGACATGCGACGTTGAGATGCCCTGAATTCAGAATTCCTGGACCCAAAATGCTTTGTACTTACAGCCACCAGCCAGTAGTACGAGTCTCCCGACCCAGCATTGAAACCGAAGCTTACTTTAAACATCTTGAAACCCTGAGTGCACAAATCCTGCAGCTGGCCGCAGGCTCGCGCCGCCGCACGGCGAACACACCCCTGGTCAAGTGATCGTATGTGCCCTCTTATAGTCCCCATATCACGATGGTGTAATAAAGCCCCAAACAAGTTTATAACTTCGTCAAGTGGCCTTAAAGCTGCAGGACTTCTGGCTTGCACTTTCGGGGCTTCAGCGGACTCCACTAGCCTGAACAAGTGGGTCACTGTCCAAGGCCGCCGTCAGAAAATGGCAAGCCCTGGCATCGGGCTTGGGTAGTTTACATACACCGAAAGGAAACGAGCCTCTAGAGTGGCTCTTTGTATACATCCCGTGCCTCGAAGAAAGAGCAGCAAGCGCAGCAGCACTTCTAGAGGTCGCAATCGCTACCGTCGTGGTGGCAGTTGCCGTCACCCTCTTGGCCGACATAGCACTACGAATAGCGATGCTTCTGTGCCAGTAGCATCCCAGCTCCTCCTCGCCCTGGCCTGCGAGTCACCAAGCCGCCCGAGGAGCGCCTCGCCTCCCAGTACGCCTGCCTGCTGGAGGGTTTTAACTACATGGGCGTGGAGGAGATATGTGTATGTACATCTGTATGTATTTATATACCAGTAAATAAGTATCTATACATATATATATACACACACACACATATATATATACTTACAGACACATATCTTTCTCTCTCTCTCTCTCTCTCTATATATATATATATGTATGTATGTATGTGTATATATATATATATAAGTACATACATATGAACTATAGCGGGATACATTTACCAGGCCGCGTATCAGCACACTCGCTCGGACGAGCCAGGCGAGGTTAGGGCAGTTGGCCGCAAAGTCACACTGAGACGGTTGGAGGCTCATGAAGGCTTAGGTTTTCAGACGTTTTCATGGGTGAAGTTAAGTGTAAGTCAGTTTAACTTTGTGGGGGTTCAGATAAAGGCCGTGGTTTTCGGCACACACACACACAAAAAAAAAGCATTTTCTACTCTCGCTGCTATCATCCAGAATGCTTTCCGCGATTCCGCAACATCTGCTGCACAATGAATGGGAAATGTTTCGGTCTGTTGTAATCCAACTACCTCAATTGCCACATTATCTTCCCTTGCAGTCCTTTCAAAAAAATATCCTACAACTGTTTCTGATATGCCCGAAGCCCCCACCTCTAAACTTTAAAGCACAACCCTTCAGAGCTCTAGGAACAGAGACCCCAACAGCCGACCCCTAACCCTGCAGGGCTCTAAGAAGCTCCGGCGCCCCGCGGGCCTCGGCCAAGAGCCCCACTCCATGACAGGCGGCTTCCCGAACCAAAGCATGCGGGTGCTCCAAAAAGGATTGGATCTTCCTGAAGGACTTTGATACTTATTTGTTTGACTGCTTCGGGTCTAGGGGTTTAGGGGCTTAGCGCTTAGCCCGCATGGCATATTCATAGGGTCTCTCTTTAAGGGGCTTTCGGGTTTTGGAGTTTCAGCCTTTTTTCTTTTTAGGGTGGTGTGTTGGCCTGACACCAGACACCCTGGCTGCATCACCACGGCTCTTGACTCTTTCAACTCGGACGCTCCAGGCAGGTTTAGGGTTTAATTAGGGTTCTCAACTCGCGGTACGTCATGGACACGTCCATAGCTTCATGTTCAGAGCTTCTTGGGTGCAGGAATAACGGGGACTTCTCTCCTTCAGGTTCGGGCTGATCGTGTCTGGCAATCAAATAACGATGAGTGCATTGAACAAAGCTGGCAAGGGCCCAGAAGAGTTTCAGAATCGTAGATCTGCATCTGAAGAATCTGAAGTCTTGAGCTTTATGGCAGATTCATGGGTCACTCACATGTTTTGGGCTTGGGATCGTGCGAACCAAGGCGCCCCTTATGACCGTGAGCAGCAGTCCCCATGCCGGCCAGAGATCGGATGAGTGAAGCCTGCACTTTCCGGGAGCTTCTGCAGACCCTCGGGTTCTCGCTGTGCGATGAAATGCGTTACCAGAGTTTCACATGGGTTGTTTGGACAGGCGTGCTAGGTCCGGGTCTAAGGTGCTGACACCACCTAGACTCGGAGGCCCCATCAATACTTCTGGGATCGAAACCAGAGCTTGAGACCAGAACCTGGCTTCTGCTGGAGGAGAAGTGGCCACTGGCCACTAAATGTGCCGAAGACTGTGGCCGAATCTGCGGGTCTTGGGCTTCTTTTCTGGGAGATGTCGCATTGAAACAAACACGCGGTCGCAGTTCCGGTGAAGTATTGGCACGCAATGCCCCAGAGACAACTGCAGTACTTCCAGAGAAATTGCTTAAGGGAATTGGAACGGCTGACAGAGACACCGGCACGAAAAGCAACTCGACAAGAGAACCGAACGAGTCGAGATCTTCAGAAATTCAACCCTGAAGCTGAGTCTTGAATTGCCGCGGCTCGGAACAAACCACCAGGAATTTCTTTCGGTATGCCAAACACGACGCCCCAAAATCTGAACGAAATCAGGAAAGCCCAAACCCTAAGGCCCGAAGCCCCGAGACCCCGAGAAAGCCGGGAGGCCATGGACTCGGGGCAACCTTTGGGTTCCACCAGGAGCGCCGCTACGGCATCCTCATCTACGCTTCGGTGAAGAGGTGAGGTTTCTTAAGGGTCCAAAATGGAGCATCAGCAAAACCGTGGAAGGCACTATCCCCTTTGTGTAGGGGTAGGATTCAGTGGATTGTGTTATGTGCTTTTGTGGGGTCCCAAAACTACCCCCATGCTCAAAGTGCTGTTGTCATCACAGCGATGACCGTTGAATGTGCGGGGTCATGATAACTTCCTGACCTCCTGCCATCATGTCTTAATTCTTGTGCAGGGCTGGTACGCTGCTGTAAGGGAATCAAACAAAGAACAAACAAACAAACAAACAACGAAAACAACAGGAGCTTTCAAACTTCAATCAACAGGGATCTCGCTTCGGCCAATCTACACCAAGTTTGGCCATGACTGTAGAACAGCGGACCCCTGGGCTGAAGAGGCTCAAGAGATGAAAAGCAATAGGCAATAAGGCAAGCCTTCGACTGGAGTCACTAGAGTAGTAAATGCGCCTGACACTTGTACCATCCGCACGACGGGGACACCATCAACATGACCGCAAACTTGAGAGGAGCCAGATCACTTAGCATACCCGCAGTGAAAGTCTCATCATACCGACCTGGCTCGTGATGTCAATACGGGGCACAAACTGCCAAACATGTACACCACAATATGCCAGAACAAACAAACCAAACTAGTGATGATCGGAGAACCAAAACAAGACATTCTGTTTTGAAATAAATGCATTTCATTACTGTAAGAGAGACGAGTATCGGCATGTTGTGCACCTGCATGTCCCATCAACATCAGGGACCTTGCTGCGCCGCATTCTGGCCTCGCGCACCAGTTGAAACAGGGCATCAAGTGGACGATGAAGGGTCAATGGAATCGCACAAGGCGCGAGAGAAAAAGCCAGTCTGTCTCCCTAGGCAAGCTGCGCGTGCCAGAAGTCAGCTGGCTTTGCTTTATCATGCTGTGCATATGCCCTAGTTTGAGTACAGGAAAGTTTCTCTTCAGACCATATCAAGTTCTTACAAAGTGTCGACCAGACTTAAACTCGCTGTGGATGCATGTTTGAGACCATATCAAGTTCTTACAAAGTGTCGACCAGACTTAAACTGGATGTGGATGCATGTTCTTCTACTAAACCATGCTTTTGCACATGCTAGTCTGCAGAGCATCTTGACAAAGATGCTTTATACACGATGCATACAAGACGAGTATATACCTAGACACAGATGCAAGCAACAATCTCTTCGGTCAGAGAAGTAGTCCGGACGGGTTCCGTACCTCCGTAGCTCGACGGGCATCCTCTTCCTCGGTTTGCAAGGCATCGTAGCCATCCGAAGCTGGCACACAGTCAGCCCACTTTGTTTAGGATTTCGGTTTTTACGGTCTAGAGTCTAGGATGGTCTAGGGTTTAGGGCTATTCCAGGCTTTGGGTGTAGGGCCAGGGTTTTAGGGGACTTGGCCTCGGCCCCCTCTGCCTCCAAGTTCGCGACGGTAACTAGCTGTTGGTTTGCTGTTGCTGCCGCGTTGGTATGATCACCATGTCACTTCTTTCGGCCCAGCAACTCCAGGCCAGCGGCACTGAGGGACCTTGGCTGGTCGTCAGGTTTGAACTTTGGCTTGTGCGTTCACTCTCGAACATATCCACGCCCGGTCGCAAAGTGCGTTCACCTAGCCAAGTTCAAAAGCGCCGTCCCTTCCATAGCCTGCGTAAGAATTCGTTTTCGGCAGGCTGCTTCCGGAAGCCTTCGATTGGCGTCGTCCTCTCACGGCCAGATTCTCTCCTGATTGTTTCCCAACTCAACCTCAAACCCCCCAAACCTTTGCAAGCCCCGAAACTTCAAGTCCAAGCCGCCTGTAAATCCCACAGAACCCTGCAAACCCTCGCGAGAGCCGCC